TGATCATCCAAGTGTCCCTGCTGAGGGAAGAATGATTTGTTGGGAGATTGCTATGCAGTGAATGACAAGGGCCAAGAAAATAAGGGTAATTCTGGGGGTTATATCCCTTTTTCTTTTTTCTTCTGATTCTTCAATCTTTCTGACTTCTGGACATTCGGCTTCCAGATTAGTGCTTCTAGATTTGGGAATTGGGGGAAGACTTCACAAAGTATAGCTATTTGAATGCTAGTCTTCAGAAGAGCCCCATGGGATACTATACACTCAGTTCCTGTCTTTGTCCTTTTGTGCTGTTATAATAGAATACCACATCCTGGGTAATTTATAAAAACCAGAAATTTATTTCTCACCATTCTGGAAGCTTGAAAGTCCAAGATCAAGGCACCAGCATCTAGTGAGGGCTCCTCTCTGCTTCCAAGATGGTGCCTTGCATATTGCATCCTTTGGAGGGAAGGAACACTATGTCTTCACATGGCAGAAAGTGGAAGAGCAAAAAAGGGCCAAACTCCCTTTGCTAAGCTCTTTTATAAAAGCATTAATCAATTATAGTGGTGGAGCCCTCATGATCTAAATACTTCCCAAAGGGCCCTACCTCTCAACACTGTTGCATTCAAAATTAAGTTTCCAATGCTTGAACTTTGGGGGACATGTTAGACATATGTTTTAATTTACCTTTTTATTTTTAATTGACAGATAATAGTTTTATATATTTATGGGGTAGAATATGATGGTTTGATACCTGTATACATCATATAATAATTATGTCAAGCTAACGAACATAATACATCATCTTACATGCTTATGTTTTTATAGTGAGAACACTTAATATTTATTCTTTCAGCAATGTTGAAACACACATTATTATTAACTATGGTCACAATGCTTTACAAGAGAATTGGAAAATTTATTCCTCCTGTCTAACTGAAACTTTGTACCTATCCACCAACATCTCCTCATTCCCTTACCCCAGGCTTTGGTAACCACCCTTCTACTCTCTACTTCTATAAGTCGAACTTTTTTGGATTCCAAATATGAGATCATGCAGTATTTGTCTTTCTGTGCCTGACTCTTTTCTCTTAGTATTGACATCCTCCAGGTTTATTCACATTGTCACAAATGACAAAATTTCCTTCTTTTTAAAGTCCAAATATTTCATTGTGTATAATATACAGTGTTTTCTTTATCCATTCAACTGTTAATGAAGATTTAGGTTCATATGTTGGCTATTGTGAATGGTGATGCAATAAATATGGGAGCGCAAATATCACTTTGACATACTGATTTCATATTGCTAGTATATATACCCAGTAGTGGGATTGCTGGGTCACATGATAATTCTACTTTTAGTTTTCTGAGGAAGCTCCCTGACTGTACTAATTTAAATTCCCACCCACTGTGTGCAAAGGTTCCCTTTTTTCCACATCCTCTCCAGAACTTTTTATCTTTTATATTTTTGATAATAACCATTTTAACAGGTGTGAGGTGATATTGTGATTTTAATTTGTATTTATTTGATGATTAATTATTTTGAGCATTTTTTTTCATATACCTGTTGGCCATTTGGATGTCTTCTTTGGAGAAATATCTATTCAAGTCCTTTGCCCATTTTCAAATTGGGTCGTTTTATTGCTATTGAATTGTTTGAACTCCTGGTATATTTTGGATATTAACATGTTGATATGATTTGGTTCCATGTCCCCACCCAAATCTCACCTTGAATTGTAATAATTCCTATGTATTGTGGGATGGACCCAGGGGTGGGAGAGTAATTGAATCATGGGGACAGGTTTTTCTGATGCTGTTCTCATGATAGTGAATAAGTGTCATGAGATCTAATGGTTTTATAAAGGGGAGTTCCCCTGCAAATGCTCTCTTGCCTGCTGCCATGTAAGATGTCCCCTTTTCTCTTCCTTTGTTTTCTGCCATGATTGTGAGGCCTCCCCAGCCATGTGGAACTGTTAGTCAATTAAATCTCTTTCCTTTATAAATTACCCATCTCAGGTATGTCTTTATTAGCAGTCTGAGAACAGACTAATATTCCTGTTATCAGACGTATGGTTTGTAAGTATTTTCTCCCACTCTGTAGGTTGTCTTCACTCTATAGTTTGTTTCCTTTTCTGTGCTTAAGTATTTTAGTGTGATAGAATCCCATTGTCTATTTTTGCATTTGTTGCCTGTGCTTTTGGTGTCATATCTAAAAAATCATTTGGGCCTTGAATTTTTGCAACCTGAAGGGTGACAGCCTGCTTTGAGGGAATCTCGCCTGGGAGGAGAATTGAGCACAACCTGTGTCCCTTGTCTGCTCTTGCCTCAGCCTGCAACACATGCTGGGGTCTTAGTTCCGGCCTCTGCATTGTTGCTTGCATTTAATACCCTATTCTCCTTTCAGTGGAAAATTTGGGCTGACTTTATGCATTTAAAATTATTTAACTTTACTATCTTTATCCTTCTAATACTTTAGCTAATCTATTCACTTTATATTCCTTTAGCTTCCTAGTTTTCATTATACTTTTTAGTCTATTATTGAATAGTTTTAACACATTTGATCTTATTTATTGGATGCTATTTTATATTCCTTTTAACCCTGCCCAGCAGGATATTTCTAGCTAAATATTGCCCTTATTGGAATATAGACTTACGGGAAATTGAGTACATATTTTTTTCACACCATTAAAAATATATTAAAATTCTCTAACATTTTCCTTTCACTTTTTACGTTTTTAAAACATTTTCTGTTTGGTTTGTCCTCTTAGTCCATTTTGTAGCATTTGCTTCTAAATTAGAGATGAGAAGTGGTAATGCTAGGGGGATGGAGGGGGTGGATGCCGCAACAGTGACTGGCTTAATCAGGGATTGTTGGCTTTTCTCCCCATGCCCACAATTCTTCTCATTCTTTCCCTATGCTTCTTTCCATATAATGCTCAAAGGAGGTCTTTCTTGTTATTGTTAAAGGAGACCCTGATATTCACCACAGTCAAGAAAAAGAGTTATTCCAATTAAATTCTATTTTTACTGAGGTAGATAGTTGGAAAAATTCACAGGAAAAATTACATGGGTCAGAAGTTACTAATACTGGCCTCGAATACTGCTGACAGGAATTGCTGAACAATGCCATCATCTTATTTCAGAACAAGCCAGGACTTCTCTGAATTTCAAACCATGGTCTCTGAGTATTTACAGCTTTTATGGCGAAGGGGAGCATCACTGGGGGTGGTAGGAGAGGGTCTGCAACTCAGCCCCTCAATACTGACCCGAGGGAATACCCAGGTGGTCTTGAAGGTCTTGTTAAGAATTATTGGTGAAAAAACTTATTAGAAGAACAATAGTCAAAGCTGGGGAATTATATTTTGTTGACCTACTTGCAGTATTAACCCGAGTACATTGATTCACCTTATTTCTGGTCAGGAATTCAATGGTTGTCACATGCTCCTAGAACCACCAGTACTTATCACGTGTTTGGTGCAGTCTCTGACTCATGGAGTGGAAGCTAGGTCAATCATGGAGTTACGGGAAAATGTTCTGGAAGGATTTCTTTCTTCTTGTTACATAAGATGTGGTTTTCCCAAAGAAACAATATACTAAAATGAAAGTTAGGGTCCCAACCCACAGAAGTCAATTTTAATCTACATTGTTGCTGACTATATTCAACTTGAAAGGGAAAGTAGGCTTTGAGGGTCACCTAAATGGTGCAATTTAGAGTTTTCACAGAGCATGATGGAGTGAGTATGTCGGGGGTTAAATACGGGGTTGGAAAGATGGATAAAATATGGTCCCCGCTTTCAAGGAGCTCACACTACAGTTGGAGAGACAGATGCCTACACAACTAATGTATGTGATGATAGTGGCAGAGGGTGTTGTCAGGCCAGAGAATATTCTGAGTCAGAAAATCCAGAAGATTGTGGAAGATGTGGTAGCTTCTCCTTGAAGGATGTTAGGGCCTTACACAGCAGAAGGGTGAAGACAGGGCATTTGAGGCACAGAAAATGGTTGGGGCAAAGCCTTAGGATAGCTAGCTGCAAGGCATAATCAGGAATATTCAAGAAGCTGCTGTAGAGGAAGGGAGGTAGTTTGGAAAAGCAGATGGGAAGAGTGGGCCTTTCTGAGTTGGTCTGTTGGTCTAATCACTTACATAGAAAATAATGGCCAGATGTGGTGGCTCACACCTGTAATCCTAACACTTTGGGAGGCTGAGGCAGGTGTATCATCTGAGGTCAGGAGTTCAAGACCAGCCTGGCCAACATGGCAAAAGCATATCTCTACTAAAAATACAAAAATTTGCTGTATGTGGTGGCAGGTGCCTGTAATACCAGCTACTGGGGAACTGAGTCAGGAGAATTGCTTGAAACCCGGGAGGTGGAGGTTGTAGTGAGCCAAGATCGTGCCACTGTACTCCAGCCTGGATGACAGAATGAGACTCAGTTTAAAAAAAAAATTGCCCATACTTTTCATGTTAAAATATAGACAGGTCATTTTCAAAAGCCTAGTTTTTTTCAAACAAATGTGGTCTTACCTCCTACTGAAGAGTTGTCTTACGTACAATAGTTCATTACCGTGAAAAATAAGAAAGTGATTAATTGCAAAATATCTTTTATGTTTAACTTTCTAAAGATAGATTTGTCAAAGAGCAGCACAGGAGATTTTTAATAGCTTTATGTACTCTTTTGTAATCAGTTCATTCTGTAACTCTGTACCTCATTAGGGATAAAGCACGCAAAGCTTCATACTGTCACCGAGGATATAAAGTCTGCAGGCACTAATCTGGGGTCAGGGGGAGGAATAAAGGGGAAAAATAAAGAAAGAATCCCTAATAAGGGTCAGTCCCAGGAACAACTTGCCAAAGATTGTGGCTATCTAACATCAGTGCCTGCCTGTTCGGTATCTGTACACATTTCTTTTGGTTTGGTGCCCATAGAGTGAGGACCCCGTGGTAGGTCATAATAAATTAAAGTCATGATCTCAGATTCAATGATGTCTACATGATTTTATATTAACTGGACAAGAGGTTGAATGGAATCCAGTCTTTTATTGAGATATTTGGGCAATCCAAGCATTTGTCCCCATTTCCATCCTCATTTTAGTTTTTCCCAGTAAGAAACTGAAACACAGAAAACTCACAGGCAGAGTCTATCAGATTCCTGAAATTCCAGTTCATTTGTAAGTCACTGATAGGTGACAATACATATACATATGAAATACAGTCTATTATAAAATATATGATGAGGTACTTTAAGAAAATGCTTTTGGCATATTACAAAGTCATTATTGTTTACATCTAGTTATCATTTTGCTTGTTGAACGTGATGCTCTTGAGAACTGACATCACCATCATATCTGATCATCAGAAACACACCACTGTTCTTAGCTGGGAAAATGTTCTGTCTTACTCTTAAACATACTAGTTCTGGTCCTGATGGGAGAACCTTTTTGAAGAAGCATTGTTTTGTTTCCCACCCTGGGTCTTATATCCACATGAGTGAAGGGAAGACCCACACAACGGTGTGGAGAGTTCAATTCGTTTACACATTTTTGCCGCCTCTCTCTCATCCACAAGGAGATAGCTGTTCAACAGTAAAAGTTCCTCTCTATTGGCATATAACAAATAATATAGCAGCATAACTAACAATAGGATCAAAACATACAAAGCCATCCATAAAACTTAATATCTTACCAGCAATAAGGAATGCCATGATAAATTATGGAACATCACTAAAATTGCATAATTGTTCATTGATAATCAGGAATACTACATAGTAACATGGAAACATGCTTGGAATATAATTAAAAGAGAAAAGAAAAACACACTATTATAATATGTACACTGCATATGCATGTGGAGGAGGCCTGGAAGATAATATACAAAATAGAAACACAGTAGTTGTTTTAGGATAGTGAGGTTGTAGGTTTTCAGAGACATTTTCCTTAATATGATAAAATACTAGTATTAATAATAGTGAATTCACCAAATAAATGATGTTGTGAGTACAGAGGGAGGCTATTAAGAAATAACTAGAGATTGGACATTGCAAAAGAGAAAAAATACTTGAAAGAATGAATGTTCCTTTCCTACATTTGTCATCTCAATGGATATTAAGATCTATAGTACTGAAAACATTTTCAAAGCAGCTGCTTAGTAGGGTTTGGAAGAGAGCCTGAACTTAACTGTATCTGGATTTTGTTTGCCCAGATGACTGCAACAGAAAATAAATCTTTAAACATATGTCCAATGTGCTCTCATTTGAGTATCTTGTCTGAATTCTCACTTAAGAATCAAGAAGCAGTTTGGAAAAATAACCCATGTGCACAATAAGTAGTATATAGAGCAAGAGAAATTCAACAGAGAAATTTTGAAAATAAAATGCCTATTTAAAATAAAGTTGAAAGGTCTATTTGGATTAACAGCAAAATACAGTAATGCCTACATAAATTTATATCTGTCTAGGCTTCCAGGAACAATCCTAATGTCTATTATATTAATATGAACAATTTGCTAAAACTGTCCAACTCATTGGAATGAGTTGCTGTCTTTTCCTCTAAAGGGCTGAGATACTTTTTTTCTCTTTTTCTTCTACCTCTGTTCAAAAGACTGTGGGTTTTACCCTTTTTGTGTGTGTATTTTTTAGACTTTGGAAGTTTTACTCTGAATAGTACTTACAAGTACTGATTTGGGGCACCAGGCTACCTTGTTGTATATAGAAAGGGGTTTGTTAATATGTTAAGAGAAATTCACACACAGAATCATACGTTTTATTCTCGCTGGTCAAAGTTAAAACCTCTCACACCAACATTTGCAAACCTTTATTTTAGCACAGGAAAACATTTCCTCAAATGCATACTTAAATGCCTTAAAGAAGGTAGATGGGAGAAGAAACATGAAATAGGTTTTTTTCTGAAATAACCTTTTATCTCTAAAATACCTTTTATCTCTAAACTAGTGGTTGACCCTCAATTGGGAAAGAGAGAGAATGATACGAAGAAGTTTGAAATGGTTCCAAGAAGTCAGAAAGTAACTTTTCCAACCGCCAAACCATACCTGACTCTGCAGGCATCTTTCTTCAGAAAATTACAGTATTATTGTGTAAGATTTGCTGAGTCTCTGTGAAAACCTCTGTGTCTCACTATCTCCTCACCTCTAACAGTGGCTAACATTTTAAAGAAAGTTTTTATTCCTAAGAGTCATCCAATAGTTGTCACCATTATAAAAATATGATTTCCTGTTTTCAAAGTATATTAAAAGTTACTGTGATTTTAGGGAACTAGCTCTTCCCATCCCAAATCCAAAGTCAATCACATTTAGTGCAAGGTTATGTATTTGATTACTTTGAGTTATACCAACATGTTAAATTTTCTCCTCAAAAACTCTGATTATGTTAATGTATTCTCAGGAATGTGTTGTATTGAATAAATAATATTTGGTGATATAACATCTGGTTTCATACATCTACAAAATTCTTTTTTGAATAGTAGCAATGCAATCTATTTCACATAATTATCATAAATTTCTTAACTTTGGCATGCATTTTGCTGTAACTCATTTCCTGGCAATATATAAAGTGCCTTTGACATAATACCATAGAATATTTAAACTGAAAATGAATGATAGAAATAATTGAGTGTAAATCAGTTCCCCCTTGCTTCACAGAGTGAGAAACTCAGGTGTAAGAAGATAAAATTTGCCCAAGATCCTGCGTATCATTTCTGACATTTAAGCCCTCCTAAAATACATATTTTTGACCTTGAACTTGACTTGAAAATTATGATTTTTTTTAAGAGCATGATTCTTAAGACAGAACACAATTGCTATACTTAAAGAATTGCAGAGTTGGTATTGAAATACCCAAAAAAAGTATGTCCAAATTTTGTCCTCAATTCCCCTTTTGGGAGAAAGTGACTAAGATTATGATTACTTAAAATGATTATTCTTTGAAGGATACAGAATACTTCTGATCTTCAAGATGAACTCTATCATCATTCCTATATATAATTCAATATTTTTCTTTACCAGGGATCAAATGGCATTCTGCTTGGTAGCCTTCTTGTCTATTGCAGTTGAGCAAGTGAAATAGAAAGCACATTTTAGGATATCACTGTGATTTGTTGTTTTCTTCAGCAGCAAAAATGTATGAAATAAAGAAACTTTTTTTTTTAACAGACTTTGTTCACTGATCAGATTAACTTAATAAAATCTAGGCTTCAGTTAAATTTAGTAGATTAGCTCTTGTTTCACTGGCATTTACTATTTGTGAGAGGAGTTGAACAAATTTACAAATAATGACACTTCCAAAGGTTTAATCATTGCATTTCATACAAATTATGCACAATGTTCAGGGCTAATGTGTAGACTTTATAGTTGTCAGATTTTAAAAGGTCTATAGGAATGGTAATTATCAGTACATGGCTGCCAATGTAAAATTCATTTTTTCTTGATGAAAACAAATTCTAATCTATGAAAGTATCATATCAAGTAATTTTGCACCTGGTAAGGAAATAATAATGAATGATAGTAAATGAATGATAGTAAATAATGAATGATAGTAAAAATCTGAAAAAAAAAACATTTCAGATAAAGACACAATAAATGAATTTAAACAAAGAGTTTAAGAAGTAACATAGCCATGTAAATATGTTAACTCTTCACATAGCTGGTCACACTTATTTTACTTTATTAGAAACCATGATCTTGTCTGATAATAATGCCACAAGACTCAGTTACATAATCCAACTGTCTTTTACTCCTCTTTTCCCCAAAGCCATCCCATCTAAAGAGGGTTTAACTCTTCTATCTTGATTTTTTCTTTCGGCAAATACCAAGTAAGATAAGCTTTTCGCCAGACAAAAATTATTTCAGATTATCACAGATCATTTATGATCAATTGTAACAGATCATTAATTTTTTTTCAATTTCTTCAAAAACAAAGCAGCTCAGTTGCCCTATGGACAGCTCACGCATCGTTTGATGCCTCACATCTGCAGCCCACTCTAGATTTATCTTGCTTTCAGCTGGTCCTGGATAGCACTTTTTGGGTTATTTTACAAAACATTCAACATTGTGTAAATTGTTAAGAAGCAACTGGAGTAGCTTCTTTTCCTACCTACTGCCTCTTCCAGTGTCCTTAACCCTTATCACCCCTCCCTAAAGGGGATATGTCCCTAACATGCCTATTTACATGACTCTCGGGCACCGGAGGTTATCACACCCATCACATACCAGGTCAATTTCTAACAGTGTGAAGGCTCTCCAAGCAGAGCAATTTCCTTCCATGGGGAGCTGGGCATAGTCATGTTTCTGTCAATCCAGTGATCTTTGTATGCACAGATTAGACGATGGTCTCGTGGTCCCACCTGCCTTGTATCTGATTGATATAACAACAGTATCTGTCATAGGGGCTGTTCTGCTTGTAGGAGCAAACGATGATACTGTCCTGGGGCACAAAGAAGATGCTGTCCTCAGGCTCAGGGCACTCAGATCTGTCCCAGGCTGAGCATTTGACATCCAAGGCACTGTAGGCAAGGGAACTCCCTGAGGGGCAGTAGCCGTCCAGGTATCTGGACGTCTCCTCCTGATGCCCACTCTGGACCAGGCTCTGGCATTCTCCTTCCTCCGTGGGTGTGGGGGCGGTGATGGAGCTGGCCACAGACACCTCACCCTGGCCTTGTTGGGGAGGCTTCCCCCTGACGCCCGCCTTCTTAGCCAGCTCATCTGAGCTCCCCTTGCCGGACTCCAGGTCTGAAGGGGTCCTCAGCAGCTCCACCACCTCCTTGTCCCTGGGTTTCCGGAAGCAGGGCAACTTGCGGACCCACAGCAGCTCGTTCTCCGGCCACTTGGTGCATCCCTCGGTTTTCCTGGCCAGGGCAATGGCCGCGATGCCCGGTAGGCAGATGGCCGGCCCGATGGCCAGGAGGGGGATGTTTCCCAAAGTCTCCCCTTTCATCCCAGAGACGGTGAACATGAAACCGAAGACCAGGAAGACACTGACCAGGGCCACCACCAGCCCAGTCCTCGGGTTAATGTCATCAGGCCGCATCTTTCACTCCATCCAGGTTGGGGGCTGCTTGCTGGCCAGGGAGCAGCCTTCCTCTGTTCTGTAGAGGTGAAACCACAGCGCGTTTAAAAAAAATCCAGGTCAAGCTCCCAGCCACCAACTCTTGTCTCTCTCTTGCTCTTTGTCTCTGACACTCTTCTTGACTTACAGTCTTGGTCTCTGCCTCTGTATCTCTCCGCGTTTCTCTTGCAATCTCTCCCTGTTTCTATTTCTCACTCTTCCTCTCCGTCCCTTCTACCTTCCTCCCTTTCTCCCTCGTACCCTTCCTCCCTCCCTCTCACTATTGCAACCTCTGTCCCTCTTTCTCAAATCAACACGCACCGGCTGGGGTTACCAGGTACCTGAGGTTTCCTGCCCTCTCCAGGAAGTAGGGAAAGAAGCCAGGCTGTCTCCTCAGAAGCCTCTAAAGCAGATGCCCTCTCGGCTCGTTCCCTGGTTCTGGGAGGAAAGCCTGGTTTCCCCCACGAACTCTGCATCCGGGAGGTGGAACGGGGGAAAGCGGCTCTCCTAGCGGTGCCCGTCGGTCCCGGTGCTGTGCAAGCGGAGACCGGCGCCAGCTCAGGGCGCAGAGCGCGGGGCGCGCGGGGAGGAAGCACTGAGTCTGGGAAAGAGGGGACGCGGCGAGAGCCTGGCCTCGTTACATCACTGTCAGAGCAGGCTCAGAAATGCAGAGGACGCGCGGGGGCGCGAGGGGGTCAGTCCCGGAGAGAGGCCACCCGGAGGCAGGCGCTGCGCGGGATCTCGTCGGGGCTGCTGGGAGCCGCCGGGGTTGGTGCCGCCGCCGCCCGGGAGGTTGAGCAGGGCGACCTGACCTGCTTCGGTGCCCGGGGAGGGTCTGGGGCGCGAGGCTGCTGGTGGCCGGAGTCGGGAACCAGGGTCGGTTTGCCCACGGGGATTCCGTTGGAATGTCGGAGCTCGGGCTCCAGTCTGGGATCCGAAAGGTTAGGTGCCAGCTGGAGGTGTCCCTCGGGGACCCGCACCCTTCGTCAATTACAAATCCGGGTGACTGACGGCAGGCCCAGGGGGCTCCCCGGGCGCCCTTCTCTCCACCCCTCGACTCAGGGCGTGGAGGGGAGTTTCCCTCGGGAAGCCGGTGCCCGAAAACTGCGCTGGTCCCGGCGCTGGGCGGTGGCGTTAAGCCAAAGCGCTCTTGCAGCGGAGTGATTGCGCCTCGGGAGCGCACAGAACCAGCGCCCAGGCGGAGTGGGTTAGTGTTGAGGGGCGGGTGCCGGGCTAGTCCGGGCCTTGAGGGGTCACCGGAATCCCAGTGGCTTTCCAGCTCCAAGCCTAGGAAAGGATGACCTTGGAGCTTGGATTTCACTTCCACAGCGCCGTGGTGCCAGGTAGACTGGGCAAGGGAGAAGGGCTCCCTGTCTCCTAGTTCGCGAGGAGAAGGGGCCTTGACCTGTCAGGACCACTGTCCCGCAGCGCCGCTCCAACTCTGAGCGATTCTCTCCTCCCTTGCTCTGGTTGTCGGTAGAGGCAGATGGGTTCCTCTGGCCCCGGGGGCAAGACTGGCTTTGGCTGTGATTCTTCAACAGGGCTACCCTTTAGGATACAGGAAGGCGGGGGTGGGGATGGGGGGAAGAGGGTGGTGAGCGGTTCACATCCAGGCTTTCCCCACTTAAACTAGCTGTGTGTTGCTGGGCAAGTGACTTAACGTCTCTGAGAATCAGTTGTCCTATTTGTAAAATGAGATTGATGCCAAATATATGAGGGAACATTGTGAGGATTAAATAAATGTAAAGTTTCTAGCACAATGCTTGGCACATAGTCCATGTCCAAAAATTACACACACATGCACACACATACACATGCATATGTATATATGTTTGTCATCATAATTAGTGTCCTCATCATGTACGGCAGGAGCCAAATCATAAAAGCTGTGAGACTAATGACTTTTAATCTACTAGGAACCCTGGAAGTATTTTAAGCAGAGATCAATATAAAAACATTCTGTTTTTGACTGAAAGGGAAGGCAGGTGAGAGAACAGGTCCGAGGTGGTAAGTCTGCAAGCCTGGAGTCTTGTTAGGAGGGCAGTTCAGTAAGCTGAGCAGTTCAGTGAGCCCAGCAAGACAGGATGTGGCCTTAAAAAAGTCGGACTGGAAGGGGAGGTTAGAAGAAAGCAGATCTGAGGGTATGTAAGGGTTGAAGTGTCTTGGAGCACAGTGAAGTGAGATGAAGGGAGAAGCCAAGGTCTACTCCGAGCTTTCTCACTTTCAAAGGGGTGGATCAGGAGCCAATCCTTGTCATTTTCCATTCCATCATTTATTTTGTGTCTTTTGTACTCATGATCATTAAACAGCTGCTGCACCTTTAGGCACAGAATAATTTAGGAGGGAAGAAAGGCGAAAATGCAAAGGGTAAAAGTGGGGTGCCAGTTCTTTGGCCACTTGTATGAGGACAATAATAATTTTCCTGGCAGCCCCACCAAGTAGATAGGCATCTGCTTATAATCGACAAAAGATGGATGAGCTTTGGGATACAAAGGAACCTGGGAAATTGTTTATTTGTTTACCAGGTCCACTGATGCTCTGAAAAAAGGGTTTTGTTAATAAAGAGAAAGGGAGAATGAATACTGGGGAAGCAGCTGGCTGCATGTGTTACAAGTATTGAAAATGTTTCCCTTCTTAAAACCCTCTCTTTTACTGACACCATTCTATCCTGGTTTTCTTCCCATCTCCCTGGTCACTCATTTGTAGCCTACTTTGTATACTCCTATTTTGTTTCTTTTTATTTTAACAAACCTCTTAGATACTGATTTTCTGTGAGTTCTGTTCTTGCTTCCCCCTTTCCTGATTTCTCTTCCTTCTCATTCTATAACAGCCCCAAACAGCCTGGATAGGTTGATGACTCTCTTTAGCTTTGTCCTTTTCCCTTGGCCCATAGATTATAATATGGATATTATTAATCTATAATATCCAGCTGTCTGCTTGATATCTCTAATGTGGATGCTATGCAGACACTTCACACTTGTTAGGGATTTTAGACTTCAGGGATTTAGACTTTAGCTATTTTGATCTATGGGGATTTCAACATTAGGGATATGGGGTTTGGGATTGTGTCCTTTGGGATTATGTTCTAAACCCAACCCCATCATTCCTTCCATTTGCCGACTGAGAATATTTGCAATTGTCCTTTACTCCTTTCTCTCCCTGGCAGCCTATATCCAGTAAGTCACCCAAGTCATTATAGTTTTACCTCCTAAGTCCCTTTATTATCCCCTCTTCTAGTGGTGACCCTGGGAAAAGAACTTTACCTTCCTGGATTTCAACTTCTTAATGAAACAAAGACTTTGAATGAGGTGCTGGGTAAGATTCATTTTAGCTCTAGTATTCTTTGGTTCTCTAGTTGTTACTTCTGCAGGGTTGAGCTGATGTCAGTGTTGTGGAGGTGTTTCGAAAATAGTGCTGGAAATCAATCGGGTCCTAAAGAAGGAAGATTGCTGAGTGGAGACCTCTTCTTACTTATACAAACATCTAATTCTTTTCTGATTTTTAAGCCATGCAGTTTATCTACTTAGGCATTATATAATACTCATGCATAAAACCACAGGAAACTTCAATTACTGTTTAATTATAAGCCACATTTTCAAAGCAATTCCTTCTTAGAGGTAATTTCAGATGGTCTTTGAACAGCAGGTATACTTGCCCAAGTCAGCAGCAACAGAGGGTAGGGATTGGAGACATCACTCAGGGTCACAATACTCAGAGACAGATAAGGCATTCCTAGTATTTATTCTTGCCTGTACAGACTGATTGCACTTGGATTTTAAAACCTTAAGCAGTTCTTGCAATCTCGTAAGCATATACAGCTAAGTACAAGGGTTTTTATTAGAAGAGCAAAATTCAGGCTGAAATGAGACTTTGGCCTGTGGATGTTTCAGAAGGATGCAGAACCTTTTATTTCTGAAATTATGGAAATCATGACATGCTAGCATTTGAAGATACCTTGTAGAATATCTACTCCAACTTCTTTATTGTACAGATGAAATCCAGAAAGGTTACATTCGTCCAATATTACTTGAGTATTTACTGTGTGCTTGGCATTGTGCTGGGTGCCAGGGGGACAAGTCAAATATGACATGGTCTGCCTTTATAGAACTCACACTCTCAGAGCCAGTTGTGTGTGTGACAGGATAAGATAGATTATGTGGTGACAACAAAAGGCCTCCAGTTCTGCAAAAACTACATGCTCACAGTATTATACATGTCTGTAATGGGCCAGCTGCAGCCCTTCTCCATGTCATCTTCACTCTGACATTCAGATTGACAGAGCAGCTTCCATTTGGAACATGGCCAATCTTGTAACAGAGGGACAAAAGAACAGGGCAAACTGCATGCTGGAGGGTAAAGCGTATTCCCTAGACTTTGTCATCACCCCCATCTTTCAGATTCCTCTTCCTTTTACTTCACTTCTTCATTTCAGCTATCTAACCTTAAAGGGATAATAGAGGTCAGACGTGGTGGCTCACACCCATAATCTCAGCACTTTGGAAGGCTCAGATGGGCGGATCACCTGAGATCGGGAGTTTGAGACCAGCCTGGCCAACATGGTGAAACCCTGTCTCTACAAAAAATACAAAGGTTAGCGAGTGTGGTGGCATGTGCCTGTAGTCTCAGCTACCTGGGAGGCTGAGGCAGGAAAATCGCTTGAGCCTGGGAGACAGAAATTACAGCGAGCTGAGATAGTGCCATTGCACTTCAGCCTGGGTGATAGAGTGAGATTCCATCTCCAAGGAGAGTAGTCTTTGGAACTCCTGAAACTTTGAAGGCTAAAGATGGGAATTTTTGTCTAGTGCCATAAAAATTCTGTGGTTGTTGTCTCTGAGACTGACAGATGTTTCACATTTTGCATCAAAGGTCTTACTCCCCAGTGTAGGCTCAGTCCTTTCCTAGTGTGATGGAAGGTGTGATGGCCAAATAAAGCCTGGGCCTGTTTTAGCCTGTTCCTTCTCTGTGCCCTCTTCTAGCCTTTCTGTCTCATCTGGGTTTGAATTTTTAGTTCTGGAGCCTGAAAACCCGTGAAACATGGACGCTGCCTACCTTCTCGCTGTGTTAGGAATGCTCTTTTGGTTGTAGTAATGTAACGAGAGCTAGCCTGAGTCAGAAAAAAAGAGGCCATTAGAGTCAGAAAATGCAGCTGCTTCTCCTGGCTCTGCTGTTGCCCAGCCAGGTGACCTGACCCTGTCACTTGGTATTTTACCTTGTTTTACTTAAGTGCCTTATTTGGGTGTCTGGCTATGATGATGGAGGGGAATTTGTCTGACTCCTCTAGACAGAGGTTTTCCATATATTATTTATGGTCTATTTATAGGTCTTCCATGATAATGTTTTAGAAGGCCTTATTTTTAAAAACTCATTTTAATTGCTCACCCTTTATTGGCACAAATACTTAGAGTTCTGGCATAGCACTTACCATAGTGTATGACAATTTAATCTCTCTGCACATCTGTATAGACCATGAGCTTCTCAGGCTCAGGGCCTCCTCTGTGTGTGAGCTCCAGCACTTGACATGCTGTCTGGCCCACAGTAAGCAAGCACTCAATACGTGTTTGGTGAAAGAATGAGTGAGTCTCATTGGTATATGGGGATCCTAGCAGACACTGCGGGTGCCCGGGCTAACCCCTTGGCATTCGCCTCTCCACTTAGGCTGCTTCCTGAAAACTCCTGTCACTCTGAGCTCTTTTTCTGGCTGAGGGAGAACACTGGCCTTGAGGGCAAGGAAAGCTGGATGTGCCAGAGTGAATGGGGGTCGTGGAGCTGCCCTCAACCAAGGATTGGGGGGAGTCGGTGGATAAAACCCCAGCTTCTTCAGTCCATGGTTGGGATAAATAGGCTACTATACTGTATCTCAGATTCTCCAGGGGAATGTGTGCTCCCATTTCCCAGTGGTAACTGGCTGATTTCCTACCCCAGGTTGGTTTCCTTCCCCTCTCTATCTTACTTTCCCATACCCTGCCTAGGGTCACCTCCTAAATAAACCACCTGCACTTAACTCCCTGCGTTAGGGCCTTGCTTCTGGGGAACCCAGATCCTGCCTACCTTAAAAGATTGTTGGGATAATCAAGTGAAAAACACTAACAAAAGGCTTTGAGTCTAAAAATATAAGTGGCGTTACTCTGGGCATGAGTTGTTCTCAAGAGAAGTGTGGTAGGTTGAATAATGATCCCCACAGATATCCAGGTCCTCATGTCCAAACCTGTGAATGTGATTTTATAGGGCAAAACGGGCTTTGCAAATGTGACTAACAACCATGAGATAGGTTATCCCAGTAGGCTCTAAATGTAACCACTAGGGTCCTTGTAAGAGGGAGACAGAGAGAGGCCTGACCCAGAAGAAGGCAATGTGACGACCAAAGCAAGATGCTGCACTGCTGACTTAGAAGATGGACGCAGTGGCCAGCAAGGAGTTCAAGACATGCAAGCTGGAAAAGGTAAACAAACAGAAGTGCAAAATTATTTTCACTGGACAAAATCTAGGTGTTGGACTTGCGACACCTGTAACAGTAAGAGAATAAATATGTCTTGTTTTAAGTCACCAAGCTCTTT